CCCCAGGGTTGGGGCCAGCATGGCAGGTCCAGGGATTGAGCTCCCAGCCCCTTTGCCTACTTGCAGGAACAAAGGTACAAGTGTATAGAAAGTAAACTTTGAAAACTTTGTATAGAGGAAAGAGCCTAGAAGAGCCCTCACTCAGAACTTTCTAGGGATGTGCTTCACAAAATGCCACCATCCATCCCTTCAGAGGGGACTGCAGCCATAGTCCAAGAAGGCCAGATGATTGCTGAGCTGGTGGCTGACCTTGATGTCATCCATATGGTGCTAGTTTTTCAGGCATACAGAATACCAGAGTTGGAGGCTTCAACCCAGATTTTAAAGAAAAGGCTGGTAAGCCAGGCAATGTCCCCCAAGGGGCAGTGTATGTATGAAGCTGTGGTAGTAAAGTTGAAGAACAGTGGAGTCCCCAGGATATCACAGATGCCAAGGATGTGAAACATATGGTGAGAAAAGCTGAAGGCAGTGGGCAGAGCCAGCCCAAAAGAGAGGGTGAAGCTGCATCCCACAGGGCCAACGAGGAAGCTGCCCAAGCCCTTTGGTGCTTAGATCTCACTACAAGCTGCTTGGTTCCAGTCTCTGTCCTCCCTTCTGCTTGTTAGAATGAGAATATTTACTCTGAGTCTTTGCATGCTGGAAATACTTAGCTTTCTTTTTTTATTTTCACAGGGGCTCAGGGCTTAGAGTTTGCCTTGAGTCTCAGAGGAGACTTAAGACTTGAGCCTTTCAACAATGCTGAAGCTGTTACGACTTAGGCAACTCTTAGAGATGTACTAAATAGATTCCTCATAATAAGACAGATGTGAGTTATTTAAGGGCTAGAAGAAGAATGTTGTTGTGGTTTAGAAGTAAAATATCCTCTTAGAGATGGGATCTTTTGGAAGGTGATTGGATCATCAGGATTTACCCACTGATGAAAGTGCAGTTAGGAAGAGGGCCTGGCTGCAGGCGGGCCACTCAGCTTAATCTGGAAGTATGTGTTGTTGTCTCCCTCCACTTTGTTGTCTGCTTTCCAAGTCTGAGCGGCTTTCCCCCATGGGCCAGGCCCTTTTACTGCTCCATTTCCCCTGTGGATCCAGCCAACCACAGACTGAATTCACAGGCCAAAATAAATCTCTTCTCTTTACACTGCAAGTAAACTGATATTTTGTCCAAGGGATGGAAATGTGATTAATACAATCTTCAAAGGTGTATTTAAAGTTAATTGGTGTAGTATAAGGGTAGGAACTAAACCCAAGATGACTGATGTAGCCTTGTAGAAAGGAAAGACCTCAGAGTGAATGCACAGGGAGGCCAGCGGTGAGGACACAGCAAGGAGGTGTCCAGCTGCAGCATGGAGACAGGCCTCAGGAGAAACCATGTCTGACAGCTGGGTCAGAGAGTCCTAGCCTCCAGGACTGTTAGTAAATGAACACATGTTGTCTAAACTACCCAGTCTGCAGTAGTTTGTGCTGGCATCCTTAGAAGGCTGACATATATGCCACATTACTTTTTAAATTCAAATAACTACCATTCTTGGTGGGGCAAAAAAGACTCCATTCTTTTTAACTCTATTTTAAGGGAGGGTGATGTAAGTTTGCTTAAACTATAGATAAATTCACTCCTTCACCCCCTCGCATGTAGCTAACCATAAACCCATTTGGAGAAAAACAAGGTCATAAAATAGGAGCAAATAGTTAAAACAACTTGGAGAGTAGGGTACACGTTAAACTCCGATGGCCTACGACAGGCAGATAGCGAGCAGCATCTGGGCAACATAAGCCTCGCTGCAATTGTGTGACATTCTTGTAAAATTCCTGAAAATGAGGCAATGCGGTAATGTGGTACTGTGGAAACCAGCAAAGTATAGAACCTGGAGGTAAAGTCCAAACAGGGGCCAGCAATTTGAGAGTCCTGACCGGAAGCCAGGATGTTGGTCTCAAACCCACAATGAAAAGCCTTTTTGTTCCTCTACCTTCACTCTTTCTCATGGGTGCTTTCCTCACTGGGACCCCGGCAACAGTAGAACTATCACAAAGGGATCTCGTTTTTCAACTAAGGTCAGTATTTCCTACTGATCTGGGAATTGCAGTTTTTTATTTCAGTACTTTTCTTCAAAAGTATAACTTATTACATTCACCTATGCTATTGCATGGAGCCAAAACCTTAAGTCATACATTATAAGAGTTGATTTAGTGGATACATGACTGACTTGTGCAATAGTGCATATATAAGTTGTAGGCAAACAGAATTTTTCTTACCTATTTTATATTCTTAAAAAGTTGCTACATGTGCCATAATATATATGTTTCATGAAAAATAGTTGATTGATTTAAGTGGTTATGGCTTCAAGAAGTTTGCTAAAAATCTATTAAAATGATCTCACTGAAATCTTTTTTTTTAAATCCCTTAGGGTAATATGCAGGAGAATAAATCTTAAAACTTAACATAAATATTCACATGGATACAACTTACCTTGTCTGAATGTGAAAGTTGTTCGTAGTCCCTGTATGCTCATAATCGTGAATGGCAGCTGCAAAGACCATTGCTAAAATTTCCAGTTCGGTGAGCCAGTGCTGGGGAATTAAAGGAAGAGTCCATCACGTCTATAAAGCAGAGCCCATCTTTGTACAGAAAAGTTCTCAGTGACTCAGAGTGTGCATCTGTACACAATTATGCTCTTATTAAGTCTCCTTCCTGTTCCCCTCCACTTACTGTGCCTAATGGATGTTGCATGAGGTCGGCGATTATTTTCATGACTTGAGAGTTCAACATTTGAAATCCAAAATGTAATTATTCTCACTAATTGAAAAAGGTGTAATTTTCTATGGTTGAAAAGATTAACTCTGATTCAGTTTTTGAATTCATAGCCTTATCACTTTGGATTCTTATGAAGTCAATTATAGTTCATTAATTTTTTAACATAGCTTGTCCAACTTTAAAATATATAGTTTAGATGTAAGAGGCCCTACTACAAGAAAATTTTCCACCTAAAACTTGAAAATATGTGCTTTGCTTATGAAAAAAATTTCTTTTATATATTTAAAGATTGAGAAGAGTTTCTGAGATTTTATCAACCTTTTTACTTATAGCACATATAGGAATATGCAATTAAACTCAATAACAATAAAGCAAAGGAGCAATCACCTCAGCACAAAATCTAGGCCCATGAACTTCATATATGTACCGACCCTGCTGCTACTGGCTGGATGACTTTACAAAATTTCTCCACTATTATAAATTCATTCAGCAATAATTTGATAGCTTAGTTTATTTATCGTCTGCGCAACCCTTTCAGTGCACCACCCAACGTGATAGCCACATGTAATAATTTAAACAGAAATAAATAAAATGTAGCCAAATCTAGTTTACTCCCCAAGTTTCACCAGCCACATTAAACTTTCTCTCTACCCCGTTGAGGCAAGGGTTTTCCAGGGAAGCGCTTATTCCACTGAGCCATCTCCCCGGCCCAAGGGTTTTCCATTGAAACAAACACAATACACAGGTTTGTCCCTTACCACAGGAAGTCCTGCCAGGTGTGGTGGTGTGTGCCAGTAATTTCAGAATTTGGGGAGGAAGAAGCATCCTTGTGAGTTTCACACTAGCCTGGGATACATAGTGGTTTCAAGGGAAGCCTGAACTATATATCAAGACACTTTTTCAAAAAATAAAGCTATTGGCCAGTGCTACAAGAAGATGGTACTTAACAGTAGGCATGGAGGGTCCAAAATGAGGTGGTGCTGGCTCTTAGTGACCTCATTCCATACATTTGAAACAACTAAAGGCTTAGTACAGGACAACTGGAAAACATCAACTGTATGTATGCCTGATAAAAGGTCGGAGGATGGAGACACAACCTAAAAGCAGGTAGAAAAGCTATCTGGTGGGAGTGGATTTTGAAAGAAGGATAAGCAAAGATTAGTAGTTAAATGCAGGGTGGAGGGCAGAAGAATTTTAACTAGAAAAGGAGAATACAGAATGACACTGAGGGGTGATACTGTATTGGAATCCAGCGACACAAGGTTATGGAAATTAAGGGAAGAGCTGAGGGTCTCCCTTGATTAGAAGTTAAGAATTTGGCTTGCAGATGAACAGCTGGGAGTTGGAAGGAGGTATCTGTCTTACTTACCACCAGACCTATTGTGGTACTTAGCACACCACAGGAACTTAGTATTTGTTTGTTGAACTGAATTTTACTACTTTTACATCAAAAGGAGGTAATAGGAAGCAGAACAGAAAGGAATGTTTTTTGTTGTTCATTTGTTTGTTTTGTGGTACCGGGGATTGAATTTAGGACCCTGCACTTGCCAGGCAATCACTTATTCTACTGAGCTATCTCCCCAGCCCAGCAAGCAGAAGAGAGAAACTGTGGAATCAGACTTTCCTGGTTTCAAGTTTGTTGATCCTCAAGAAATTAAGATATTTATCCTTTCAACTATCACTCATTAATGTGAGATTAGCGTTCATTCCTCTGCAGGGTTCTAAAAGAGATTCAGAGATCATGTACGGGCTGTGCCTACATCTACTGTAAGCCTCGCCATAGAGTAACACACATGGAATATGCAGGTTTTTACTGAACTTCACATTGTTAAAGCTAATACATCTTAACTGTTTGTAAATCAAGTGTAAGCGCCTCACAGCTGGGTGATACAACAGCAGTGATTCTCAGAATGCAAGAGGCTGGATAGAATTAGTTCTTCCATATTTATAGATGCTTTTAATTGCAAGTCATTAAAAGGAACAAAGTGACATTATAAGTGGCCTGTGTTGTAGGCTTCACGGGACTGAATGTCCAGTGTCCCCACTAAGAAAGTATAGAATAAACACTATGAAATAATAGCTACTGAGTTAAACCAGTCTCTATACCCCAGAACTGACTGTCTTATTAAAGAAACTTGTTTCTTTTAAAGAAAAATGACTTATTTTCTTAAAATATTTCTTATTGGTTATATTTATGGATTTATAGATTGAACTGTGTTTCAAAAGAAAGTAGCATTTAGCATCAACTGTGGTAGCGCTATGAAGCTGCAAAAATAAAAATTTACAGGTGAAAATCAGAAATGAAATTTAATTACAGATTAGTTTATAATTACTTAAAATAATTTCCTTCCTAGCTGTTGAAGTGATTATAAATGTGCTTCTGCTTTTTTTCCTGATTAACTTCTACCTCCCTTAAGTAGAGCTTTATTTGTGCACCTCACTTATTTATTGCCATACTATTACCTTAGTGATTAAGTTTATAGTGTAAAATAGCTTGGGAAGCAAGCAGCCCCAAACTTTCACACCTATTAGAAATAAACTGAAAAAAAAAACACTGAAAACAAATTAAAATAGAATTTTTATGTTATTAAAAGTAGAATTTGGTGGGGCCGGAGAGATGGCTCAGTAGAATAAGCACTTGCCTGGCAAGCGCAAAGGGCCCAAGTTCAATCCCCAGTTCCACCAAAAAAGAAGAAGAAGAAGAAGAAGAAGAAGAAGAAGAAGAAGAAGAAGAAGAAGCAGAATTTGGGGCTGGTCCTTCTCTCCTCAGCTGCTGACTGACTCACACTCAGGTCAAATGAGACTTCTACCTGAGAAAATGGATGCTTAAATTCATGAATTTTATAAATAATTCCTGAGGACATGCTAGCGAATAAGTCCAAACCCCGTTCTTCCCTTCCAGAACAGAGGTTGGTACAAAAAGGGTTTTCTGATTCCCAGTGGGCAGAAGTAAAGGATTCAAATAATGAGTCATAAGCAATCCAGACTTTGTGCTTCATTTTGCCTAGAGAAGCGCTCAGGTGGTCTCTTGTGCCGTGGGCAGTCCTCCACGTACGTGGGAAGGAGCTGTCGACTGCTGCTAACAGCACTCGTGATAATGGCAGAGAGGAAGCGGAAGGGTCAAAGACAAAGACTTACTGCACATGTGAGTTAGATCACCTCATTTGATATTATAATTATCCTATTTACCATTCAACTTAGGTGTTAGGGTTTGAGAATCAGAAATTGCGCCTAAAGGATCATATTCTAAGAAGTAGGGCTTTTGGAAGGTGGCATGCTAACCTTGCCAATGGCCCCATCCTTGGCTGAGTCCATAGCTGAACGCACAGTTTGGAGGCCAGGACTGGGTGGAGGATGGAGGTGGGGATGGCCTTGAGGTCAGTCCTGTCCACGGACCCTCCACTCTGACCCTTTCGCCCTGTCTGTTCCTGGTGTCACAATCAAGCCACTGTCTTCTACCATGCCATCCTGCCACGCTACTTGTGCCTTGAAGCCAGCTAAGCCTGGACTGGAACTCTGAAACTGTGAGCACAATAGGCCTTTTCTCCCCTACGTTTTCATTGTCAGGTATTTCAGCCCCAGAATGAAAAGCTTCCTAACTCAAAGGGAAACAGCTTTCATGATGCAGATAACAAAACTGGATCCTAAAGAAGAATATCAACATACTGAAGGTCAGAGAGCCACTGAATGACAGAGCAGGAATTCAATCTAAACTTCCTTCCAAAATTTCTGTTCCTTCTGTGGGTCACAATAGAATTCATTACTCAAGGGACGCATCATACAGAACACATTCTATAAAGCTTTAAAAGTAAAATTTCTAATTACTTGAGCTGGAAATATGAATGCAAGGAAGCAAATAGCAGTCTAAGACAATTTGCAGATCTTAATGTCTCTACGAGTGTTACAGGGTTGCATACTTTTTTCTCTATTGTTAATAGGCTGAGATAATTCATTGTAATTCACTGGTATAGAAAGCTGGTATATCACATTCATCAGCAACACAGTGTGTATGCATAGCTATTCGCTTCAGGTTCAAGGCTGGGGGTTTCATATGTAAAACTGAATGACCTCGCATTACCTTCTTTCTCATAGGGCAGTATTTAACTTACTTTAGTGACAGGGCCCCAAGGCAGAGATTGCTAGTGAGTGATTCAAAATAGTTTCAAAACTATATTTCCTAAAACTAGGCCTTTTCTACCCTTCTAAACAGTGTGGTATGAAAGACCATGGACGAGAAAAGGATTTCCTTACAGTTTGTGGAATAGAGACCCAGGGTCACATATTTTTGTAGATTAATCAGAGAAAAACTGAATCACTGCCAGTATAGGAGGCTGCTCTTGGGCATAGTTAGTGTACTAAAAATTTAGGAAATAGTCTTCTCTCTCTGTGTGTGTCTTACTCAGAATTTTACAATAAGCAGCCAGGAACCCTCAAATGCAAGCGCTCCCTGGCCGAGGCTAGGATATGACTTGCTATTTAAAGAGGCAGTTGGAGGTAGTCTGGCAGCCCTCCACCAAGCTCTGGTTCTTTAGCGAATGCATTGACTTTCTGTGCATCACTGTCACCATGGCGCAGGGCTACAAGTTAATCAAGTGACAAAAGGAGAAAGGAGGCCAGTAATTGTTCCAGTATCTGTACCAGCATCTCTGCCTCTGCACTGTCTGCCTCCAGGCTTCAGGGTGTCCCTTACAAGATGAACAAACAAGGACAATGGCTGCTTCACTGTCTTTTTCTGGCAATAGTTCTCAGAACATCTTGCAGGTGACAAGATGCATTAGTCACCTGACAGTGCTGGGCTGCTGCTGGAGTGCTCCATGAAGGTCATGTTGATAAGGCCATCCTAAAATAGCAGGGCGTCAACCTCAGCACTATGTGAAGTAACCTACTGTGCATACCAAATCCAGAGAGTGAGGAAGGACTGAAGAGTTCTAGCTAAAGGAATATTTGTTTGGTTTTTTTTTTTTTTTTTGGTTCAAAGAGCCAACGCATCTGTATGTATGTATGGAGATTAATATTCAACTTCAACTACCTTTTTATTTATTTAAAAAAGCTTATTAAAATAAATTTTACCAAACTATCTAGCTGCAAGAACAGCTTAGGATTGACAAAATAGTCAACACATCTGTGAATTCGTTTGCCTTCTCTTTTACCATCCATTATAAAAATTGTCATAATGCTCCTTAGTTTAAAAGCATTTATTTGGTCTAGACAAGACTAAAGGTCTACTGCCAGCCTATTGTCTTAACCACATAATAATGGGTGTGGAAAGAGCAGTTGGAGGTAGTCTGGCAGCCCTCCAAAGATTTTTGCAAAAGAATGAATAAAATCAGAAACCTGCTTCTATGCCAATCCAACTGAAGCAGGAGAAGTTTTATTTAATAAGTTTCCCCTGAAATGGTTACATGATCTATATTAACAACTTCAATGCTCTTGGAATTGGTCCAGGCTGGACCAGATTCTCTAGTCTTTCAGTGAAGATGGAATGGTTACTGATGTCCCATAACAAGTCTATATTATTAATCTGAGTGTAAAAATCACAATGGGGATTTGAATTTCTCTAGTTACTTACAAGTATGATAAATCTCATCTCTTCAGACCAGAGGTTCTGAAGCTAAAATAGCAGGCCTTTATTAGACTGCCTTGACACTTGTTCCAAGTAAAACCATATAGATAGGTAGATAGGTAGATAGGTAGATAGGTAGATAGGTAGATAAATAGATAGATAGATAGATAGATAGATAGATAGATAGATAGATAGATAGATTTCTGATTACAGTCCCATGTAAAATGTCAGTTTCTCATTTCACTTTAAGACTAAGTAGATCTTTTACACACTGAAGTAGGCATTGGCTTGCCATTTCATTCTGTTCTAAGGAAACTTAATCAAGTTCAATTTCCATTCTGGAGTGACACTTAAATATATCAACTTAATATATAATATAAATATAAACATGTTGCATATTAATATGTCATATAGTTACTATGATTAATATATAATGTTAATATTTAATATAAATATAACTTAAGTATAACTTTTTCAAAGACAAAGAATTCAAGAGAATGGAAATGCCAAAAACTTCAAGCAAAATCACCTCACCGAGGGCCTGCCCCTTAGCTCAGTTCTTTAAGTGGCTGCTTCAACTAAACAGTCAGGCTCAGGTTGCTGTGGTTCGATCCCCACAACTCATGCCAGCCAAACCTGCCCTGAAGGCATTCAAAGGAAAAAAAAAAATCCTTCTGCCTTTGGGCTGGGGAGATAGCTCAGTAGAGTAAGTGCTTCCCTGGCAAGCGCAAGGGCCTGAGTTCAATCCCCAGTTCCACCAAAAAAAAATAAAAATAAAATAAATAAAATAAATCACCTCACCATTTCCAATTTAGCGCAAAGACCAGAAGACAAAAGCAGGCGGATCTAAACAGGAAGGTGCTAGAGCAGCTGCCCAGGTGTGGCGGCATTTGCAGCTATGGGCAGGCCCTTTGTTTGCACATTAGTACACCACAGAAGTCAAAGGAAATGGAAGAAATGGGTTTAAGAACAACCAGCAGTGACAATGAAGCCTTATTCAATCCCCAGAAACCGTGAGGAACTTTTGAGTCTGCATGTGCACACGCAGGAATGTTAGAAACAGGTAATGGAGCTAGAGTGTACTGCCGCTAATGGCTTTTTGAAAAGATTATCTCAATTTTGTCAGAGGCTTCATATTTCTATGGAGTTGTGGTAAATCCAAAAAAATCCTTAAGCTCCCACCTTGGCTCTCAGCCACTAGCCGTGCCAACTGCCAGCTGTGCAGGAGCACACATTCTGGATACAGGACCAGCTCCGACCATCGCTGCGAGCTGGGGAGACCCCAGGCCTAAGTGAGGCCCCAAAGCAGAGTCTGCTTGTTGGGCCTCTTCTAATCACAAACCATGAGACAGTAACAAGTTAGATTTTTTTTCTGGTACCAGGGTTTGAGCTCAGGAGTGTTCTACCACTGAAGTACAATCCTACCTATTGTGTTTTTTATCTTATTTTATTTTTACTTTGACACAGGTTCGCAATCCTACTGCCTCAGCCTCCCTAAGTGTTGGAATGACAGGCATGCACCATCACACCTGTGTTTTTTGTTGTTGTTGTTTTTCATGAACAATAGATGAATGAGAACTTGGGGCAAAAGTGAGCTCTTAGTCCGAAGCATTGAAGAATCTGTAAAATTTATTTCTTTCATTACTACATGAGACTCCAACAGATGGATCCTAGGAAATGGGTGTTGTGTGTACTACACAGAGTCAGTTTCTTGGTGGAAATTTCATGCAGATAATAATCTTATGATATGTGCTAACCTCCGAGGGCTATGCACCTGTTACATGGTTCCCAGCTCTTTAGGGCTCTACACTAAGCCCCCAGGGGATTTTCTTGGAACCAGTTCAGGAATACAGTCTCTGCTGCAAAATACTGACATACTGAGGCTTTGGGGCCCCAAAGGGTTCAGGTTACTTGGATGGAAATGCTGATGAGCTGTTGCCCAAATAAAGGGGCTGGATTCTGAATGCTAAAAACTCAGCAATGCAATTCACAGGGCTTGCTTGGGCTTCCACCTGCAGGAATTTGCCTCGCCTCAGCCCAGAATGGCACACGAGGAATGAGAAGACGCTAAGACTTGAGGGTCCCACACTGCCCCTACCCCTTCCAATGTACCTCAGCTTGCTACTTTCAGAAGAAAGGGCTGCCTTTCCCTTTTCATCTTCTGAGAATCATCCTGAGCTCTAAGACAGAGGAACTGATTCAGATGCAAAGAAGAAAAGCATTTGGAAAAATTCACATGAATAATTTCTCCAAATCCCATTAGGACTCAACTATGATTCACAGTGTAAGCAAGAGAGAAAGCTCTGGAGATTAAGTTAGGGGAATATAACAGGCGAGAGGAGGACACACTAACTTACATTTTGAAGATGCTATTTCCCTCCAACTGATTCCCATATGAGAGAGAATTTACCCATAAAACATTTTATAATTTAAGTTTTGGAAAATAACATATTTTCATTCACCTCTTATAATGGTCTCAATTTCAGATTTTCAGTCCCCCCCCCAAAGCCTGGTGTGATTGGAAGGTGAATGCACTAGGGGGTGCTACACTTATCAGTGGATTCATCCAGCAGGAAGTACTGTAGCTAATTGCACTGTCAGGGTGTGCAGGTGGCTGGACATAGGGGTCTCTTAGTCACCTGGGCAGGGACATCTTTCTGTCTGGCTCCTCCCTCCCAGCTCTGCTTCCTGACCACAGGCTATGAGCAGCTCTGCTCCAAGGCAGGCCCTTCCGCTACTCCATTTCAGTAGTTGATCCTGCCCACCAAAGTCGGAACCCTTGAGCTGAGACAAGGGTCCTTGTCCTTTCAGCGACGTATGTTGGGTATCTGATTTGTTCCAGTGATGAGAAGGTAAATAAGATTCCTCCATAGTTTTTCCCATTAAGTTAAAATATTTTTTGAGAAAATGCATATGATAAATAACCTTCAAAATTCAAATGATCATTATTTATACCATTTCTATTAGCATTAAAAGGATGATAGGAACATAGAGACATAAGATTTGATATTTTCAAACAAACTTTAGTCACAAAGGTGTCCTTACCATGATTCCTGTGTGGAGCATTATGTAATGCACAGTTTGGGTGACATCAGCTGCGTGAATCAAATTATGATATGGATTTTTGTACTTGCTGTAACCAACTTCTAAAGCTTCTGCAAAGGCAATTAGGCAAGAAACAGGAATCTGGAAGATAATAACTATGATTATATTTTGGCCAAAAGAGTGCCACCACATCAACATGGGCATGGCATTTGGAGAGAGACACATTAGACAGTCAGAAGGAAGCAGTAGTTTAAGTTGAATCCAGATTGCTCTGCAAAGCCATGTCACCAATGTGTTAGCTTTTGATCCTGAGAAGCGTTGCAATTCCCAGTCATTTAACTCAGACAGATGAACTAAATGTTTCAACGTTTCATGTCCTCTAAAGTCAGGTAAGAGAGCTCATTCTTAAAAGGGTACTAATTTCCAGCCACAATTGGTAGAGTCTGGTTTTCCTGTCTGTAATACAAAGGGCTTAAGATGGACACTCTCCCAGTCTTCTATGTCCAATCACACCCTGAGATTCTGCAGTGAATGGTGAAAGCTACAGGCTGCCGGCTTCGCAAATGTCTAGGTCAAGTCCATTGCTTAGAGGGTTCCAAATGAAATTCATTAGAAGCTCTATAATTTCAGTTTAAAAAAAACCTGCCAATATAGGTTCTATTTTTAAGAAGAATACTTTCTCATTGCTTCCAACCGCTACATAAGTATTCTATGAATAACTCAGGCAATGCTGGTACCTCATTATATCCTGGCCTACCACCTCCAGGTGTCTACATCAACGTGTCACTTGGCCCTGGTTCTGTGACCTGCTAACTAGAAACATGCTAAAATGTATTGATGAATACTCAGTGTTCTGCATTTTCATTTTTATTCAAATAACCATTTCCAAGAGCATTTTATCTTCATTCCACATTTCTGACCTTGAAGCGGTTCATAAGATCATATCTGGTAAACAGTTCATAAATCATAAACTTCAGGCTATGTTCTCCACTTGCTTCATTTAGGGCAAATACATCAAAAGACCATTTATCCACATCCTGTAGGGCAAAAAGAAGTAAACACATTAGATGGAAATATGGCATAGTGTTGAAGCCTTTTATGGAAAATTATTTGAAAAGTTAGGTATTGTACATTTGGCAGATCATTTTTCACTGAAGAATATTATACTACATTTTACTAGAGCCTGATATGACCAGGTCACAAAAGTGAGGCGATCAGGTTTAATAAGCTCCAAAATCTTCACTTTCTATCAATGTTCATACACTGGAGCAATAAGCCCGGGCACGTGGTAGCTCTGCCACTGACTTTACTCTCTCTGCAATGTCCTGCCATAAACCATTTTCCCCGAATGGGCCCACGTTAAGGTAGACTCGTGGGTGATGTGGATGATCTCACCTAAGGAACCAAAGCAAGATGAGCCACACCACCCCTTGCAGGATGGCTTGGGATTTCGGTGTGACTTAGTACTTCGGCTTAAAGCTTTGATATCCTCTGTCCTTTTCAGGGATACAAATACAGGGCAGAGAGAGAATATATACGGCCTTATTAGTGCTGGCGAGGTAGGTCATCTTGGGAGGAGAAAGGAAACGGGTCCTTTCTCGAAGAGAGAGGACAGTAATTTTTCTATTTCATGCAGTTCTGGAGGGGGTCAAGCAGACCCGCAGGGAACAGGTACTCTGGGACAGGACCCTTTACAGCAGCAGAGAGGCCGGGGTGCAGGGATATCCGAACAATTCATAATTTTGCTTTTATAATAACCTCAAAAAGCATGGTATTCAGATGTTAAGGTGGACAGGTACTGTCAGTAGAGAAGTCCCAGCATTTACATACAAGCTGCAGCTTTAATATTCAATAAGATAAGCAGACAGCCTTAAAGTTAGACATTAGTTTTGCCCTTAAATGGGTACTGTGAGTCTCGTGTACTGCACCCCACCTCACTCCCCATCCTGGGGGTTAAATCTAGCTCCTTCCCATTGAGCATGGTACATCGCCAGACCCTTCTTTTAATTTTTGCAGACAAGGTATTACAGTATTGATGAACTGCTAAGCTGCTCTGACTGAACTCAGATTTACAGTCTTCCTGCCTCAGCCTCCCAGAGCTCTGGGATCTGAGGCCTGTGCCACCAGGACAAGCTTCAATTACCTTTTTAATATTCTTAGGAAAGCCGGCAGTATGTGCTGTCACATGCTGAAACTCACCTGGAATTCTCACAAAAAAAGTATTCCAACCATTTCTTTTTCTTTTCTTTCTTTCTGTCTTTTTTATTTTTATTTTTTGTATTTTTTAGGGAAGTGTCTACAGGGTCTCACTACTAGACTAGACTCATAGTGATCTGCCTGATTACAGCCTCCCAAGAGCTGAGATTACAAGCATGCGCCACCATACCCAGTCTCAGTTGCTGTCTCAGCACACCCTGGGGGCGGGGCCAGCACAGCAGGCCTGGGGATGGAACCCCTGGCTACGCCTGTGCCTGCTTGCAGGGACTTTAATCCGCTGAGCTATTTGGCCAGCCCTCCAACTGTTTCTTTAAAAAAAAAAAAAAAGAAAACAAATAATAACAACATCTTCAAACGGTCCTTTCAATCACTTGGAACAAAGCACCAATGAAATATGTTTTGGTTTACTTGTAGGCCAGTGTGAAATTCCTTCCATTTGCCTCTAATTTGATCCCTAAACACTGGCTTGATATCTTTGTAAATTAAAAATCTTTGCTGCAGGTTTTGTTTGAAGGACTTTTACCACGAGGAAAGTTCAAAGGAGGCCAACAAATCTTTTATCAGATTCCAAATCCAACAGAAAAGAGAGCGTGACCTCTACCAAGCCGCCTCTGTATCCAGCTAGGGGCTTCCCACTGAGTGAAGAAGGGGCTAGTGCCGGTCTCCAGGGGAGTTTCATAAGCAGCAATGATTTGCCCATGTGAACTACTTTGGTGTGTGGCCTCTGTGCCGTTAGACTGAGCACAAAACAAGGCGTTTTATTGGAGAAAGTTATTTAACTAAAAGTCTTTCCTAATGATGTTTTCTCCCTCAAACTTTTAGTTCTTGTGTCTCAATGAAATAACACTTTAGAAAATTACATTTTCAATGAAAATGATTTTAGACTTTTGTTTTATTCTATTTATATTATTATTACTATTATTATTATTATTAGCCATACTGGGGATTGAAGTGAGGGCTCCACCCCAAGTTGTTTTTATTTTTTATTTGGAGACAGAGTCTGGCTAATTTTCCAAGTTTGGGCTTGAGTTTGTAATCCTCCTGCCTCAGCCTCTAAAGAGTGCTGGGGTTACAGGCCTGAGCCTTTGGTTTCTAAACCAAAGTTTTAAAAATAAATAGTATAAAATTGAGTAATTCTCTTGCACACAGTTGGAGAAATAATAGGAAAGGCAAAATCTCTCAAGAACAGAGAAATAATATTTTCTAATGTGACATTTTGTTATGTATCTGTTTTTACCATAATTTTAACTCTGCACAAAGAAACATCCCAGAAGATGAATACTTTTTAAGTTGATTTAAATTTAAATTTAAATTTAACATTCCACAGAGAAAAACCAAATGTAAAGAGGATGTTTAAGAGGAAACTAAAACACACAAGCAAGCAATGCAAATTTACAATAGGAAAATAACAATCTGAAATAAAGCAGCCTAAGATTTTCTATTTGTTGCCTGCATCCTTTTAGTTCTTGGACAATGCAGGAAAACTATCACAGTGTTTTCTCAGGAGACAAAGTTGAATGCCCCCAACTAAATTAAGAGACCAAAAGAAATAAGAAATTTAGAGTCTGAAGCTACAAATTACTTCTGTAGCAATAAGAGCTGCACAAATGTGCAGGTGTCTGTACGCAGAAAATGAAGACGAGCGTGTCCATAATGTCCCAATTTCACAGCATCGATTTCCAGTTTTTCCTCACACACATGGTCCTGCAATTGTGCCTCAGGTTTGAGCAGCAACAAGAGAAGTCACAGATAAGAGAAAAATTTGGCCATAATTTTACCTCATATTTTGCATTTCTCATATTTAAGAATTTAGATGATTTTCTTTTTTATGTATTTAGTATAGGGTCTACAGGGTGTCACTACACAGATGGACTCCTAGTGATGCTCTTGTTTTCAGCCTTTCCAGTGCTGGGATTACAGGCATATACCAACACGTCCAGATTCCCGCAGGCTCAGCACATCCCGCTCCACGTGCTTGCCTAAACAGGCCAAAACGTGGGGTTTTTTTGCAATGCATTTAAGCCTTTGCTCATAATAGCATATACATAACAAAATACTCTATGTCTATTCAGACAGGTACTGGTGCCACCTGAAAACAGAACTCAAGATTCACTTAAATCATGAAGAAGAAAATCACACAGGCACACACACACAAACATGCGTGTGTACTCATTGATGGAGTTGGTTAGTTGTGTCAGTCCTTGCATAATTCTACAGAGTCTGAACCAACATCTATCATGAATGTTTAAATTAAGAAAAACGGTTACAGTAAAAGACACATTGCTATTGATTAAAATGCCTGAAAGCAGGCACAGGGGCCGGGGGGGGGCTCGATCCCCGGGCCTGCCAGGCCGGCCCCGCCCTCGGGGTGCACTGAGACATCAATTGAGCCTGGGCGTGGTGGTTTGTGCCTGTAATTCCAGCTCTTGGGAGGCAGTAAACAGGCAGATCACTACAAGTCCAAGAGACCCTGAACACCCTGTAGACCCTTCCCCAAAATATGAAAAAAAGAAAAAGACACATTGTTATAAATCCCCCTCAAAACACAAAACACAATGCTTGCCTCAGACATACAATCATTCTTGCCCCCTCTCCCCCTTATTTTATTTTTTTATTTTTTTGGCAAAACAAGGGATTGAATTTAGGCCCTTGTGCTTGCCAGGCAAGCACTTATTCTACTGAGCTATCTCCCTGGCCCCTTCCCACTTTCTAAAGCTGTTCTAAATGTCCTTCTTCATGGGTGTGTCATCGTGAAAACTACAGGGAATGCTGCCGTCCAGCATGCTGCCGTGGGAAGAAAGGCTGGAGAGAACACATGCAAGTGTGTCCTCACCCACCTTCCCCACTGGAGCTGCCCTCAGGCTCCTTCCTGCTGTTCCCCAAAGTCAAAGTGACTGTAAAAGGGAAACACTTGGAATTGATTCAGGATGTCAAAGCAACCCTAACATTGCCACCAAAGCCCCTCATGGGAGAGGACGACCAGAACGTTTCAGAAAGCATCAAGAATTACTACAGATGACTCAATTAGAAACCAATACGCAGTCAAAGGACCCAGGAGGCAAGTCTGGGAAGAAGGCTCAGGTGCAGCTGCCACAGCCAGGCCCAAAGCCTCCCCAGAGACAAACAGCAACCTGAGGTTGTACTGTAGTCAACACCATCTTGTCCGGTGGTCCTAGAAGGGCATCAGACCAGAATGTCTGGACCATTCCTTCTCAACAATGTGTTTGTTCTTTCCATGGACCCCTGCTGTGTGACTCACTTCCCTTGGATCAATATTAGTAAGTGACTATTCTTGTGACCCGATAGGGTGACTCGCAAGTTGGGATCTTGCTGTATAAATTACTCTGACAAAGAGCCTTCTTGGTCACCCACTCCTGGAAACCCAGGAGCTATTCTTCTCTTCATTTTCAATAAAACTCTCCTAACTTTCCCCCTTGGTTCAGTCTTCATTCCCTGATGGTGGGAGACTGCAATGTCTGCCCCTCTGCCCCACATCTGGGGAGTTACTTTCCCCAACAGACTGAAATGTGTTCGAAGTGAGGAAGCGTATGTGGAAGAGTATGTGGAGGGCTGTCAGTGTGGCTTTTATTATAAAATTTTTTTAAAAATTTAACAGTAGAGGCTGGTGAGATAGCTCAGCAGTCTAAAGCACCTGCTTAGGCAAGCTTAGGCAAAGCACAGGGACCACAGTTCAATCCCTGGCACCAGCTCTCACCCCTCTCCCCAGGGCAGGCTGAGCCAGACACACACACACACACACACACACACACACACACACACACACAAAACCTAAACAGTAACTGTAAGTTTCAATCTCACCTTGTATATTGTAAACGGTTAAAACAATTTTTACATTCCAACATGTAGGCTGCAGCGCAAAGCTACTCTTATTCTCCCCCCAACCACTTTCAGAAGATTTTTAAACACAACTTTTATAAATGAAAATAATTGAAGTTATTTCACCTTTAACGTTACTATGACAGCTGCTGGATATGCCAAGCCAACCATGTGATAGCTTTTCCTGTACATCCTGGAAAAATAAAATAAAATTAAGTGGAGACATAAGATTCATTTGCTCAAAGTTTTCAGCTATTTTTTAAATATAAGAGTAAAGATTATTTTTGACTTGTTTACTTTTTATCACTCCTTTCTTGGCAACAGTGATAACCGCAGGCAGCAGTTCTCGTGCCTAAACTTTCCTGTCTTCCCATTTCATCTCAGACTTTGCTACTTTAACTTTCCTGCTTCAGTGACAGAAGTGACTAGCACTCTGTGCACTCGCGACCACCCTAGAAAGCTAATTTGATTTTAGTTTCCAGGTCAGGATATCTTCTGCTGAATTTCAACTAATTAAAAGAGGGATTCTCAAACATCACCATGTTCATCACAGCACGACATGCTTCTATGCCCACTTAGAGGACAAAATTTTTAAACTGGAAGTTGAATGTCATGAAGATATTCTCTGTGTAGATTTTCGTGTCTGCTTTTTTGCAAAGTGAAAATTATAGGAGGGTATTTGTAGCATCATCACTATTTCTACAACTTCATTATTGTTGTTAAGAATACTGGAAGAGGGCCGGCCAAATAGCTCAGCGGATTAAAGCACCTGCAAGCAGGCACAGGGCCCTGGGGTTCGATCCCTGGGCCTGCCGTGCTAGCCCTGCCCTCAGGGTGCACGGAGATGGCAATTGAGACTGGGTGTGGGGGCACGCGCCCGTACTCCCAGGTCTTGGGGGGTTGTAAACAGGTGGAGTCCAATCTAGTAGTGAGACCCTGAACACCCTGTAGACCCTTCACAAAAAAAAAAAAAAAAAAAAAATACTGGAAGAGATTATATTGACAAAAATTAAATTTATTCAACCTGTCATGTAGTATTAGTTAAGAAAGACTATTCAGAAAGTAAACAAAATTCTCTTTATTTCCACATCAATCAATAACAAAAGTATTTTGAATCTGTGATTTGCAAATGATTTGATTTTTCTATTTTCTGACAAGGAAGCAAAGGAACACAAGCCAAGCATAATCAGTCCTCATGAGTTCAGATGATTGCAAAATAGAAAGCTCCCCTAACGTGCAGTAATAGTAAGCTGCTTCTGTTTGGGACCGTGATAGACTCCTAAACTTCACATGGTACTGTGAAGAAATAATTCGATTGAATCTCAATCAGGTGCCTTAATTTTATATCAAGCTAGAGTACAAAAAAAAAAAAAATTGTATTCCTAGATGGTGGAGCTATGATTGCTTTCCCCCAAATACCTGGATGATAACATAATTTAATTAAGTGTAATCATAACAATGGTCAGTATAAAAAAGTTATGTGGAAAATATTTTGCATCTTTTATAATATCATGGCGGAGTACATCAATCTTATTGAATCATTGGATCCTGTATTAAACTCCACGAGACATGTGCTTAATTTATACCTAAGTTTTCAAAAGACCATAAAGGCCATGTAACTCATCATGTTTCCTTTGTAAATACTGAATTTACAAAAATCTTGGAAGCTCAGGATTACAACGTTGTGCATAACTGTATCTCGAGCCTAAACTTACCTGTCTTCCCGTTTAACTCCAGACTTTGTTATTTTAACTTTCCTCCTTCAGTTTTATGTTTATCTTAAATTACTGCAATCATTATTGGAATTAAGTGACCCAGCAGATCAAAAACATATTCTGTATCTTCATTAGAAGATGCTAGAATAGCTTATAAATAAAAAAGCATTCATTACTCCATTGAGAGACGTCTAATTATTCCGCTCCTGCAGGGAAGGAAAGTAGAAGCCACAGCGTGCAGGATGGTGACACTGACTGCTGTCAATGTGGACACCTGCCTGGGAATTTAGGAGAGACATCTTTTTTTTTCTTGTTTTTTTTTATAGACATTATTGCTAAAAAATGGTGATGCAGGGGCATTGAAAGAGTAAAAGAGGGAAAAACTCCAGATAACAACCAACAAAAGTTGTAGTACTGTCTCCCTAGTGTAAGAACTCAAAAGAAGAAATAAAAATTGAAAGGTAGAACACAGTGAACTGGAAAGAGAGAACTTAAAGATTAAGCAATGTAGAGAGAAAAAGGAAAAAAGTTAGGAAATATGGTAGGGGCAAAACCATACATTTGGGCTGGGAGATAGCTCAGTAGAATAAGTGCTTGCCTGGCAAGCACAAGATCCTGAGTATAATCCCTGGTACAAAAAAAGAAAGAAAGAAAGAAAGAAAGAAAGAAAGAAAGAAAGAAAGAAAGAAAGAAAGAAAGAAAGAAAGAAAGAAAGAAAAGAAAAGAAAAAACATACATTTATATAAACAAGATGGTTATGGCAACGGTCCTTAGAATTTCCATCAGGTTTTTGAAAATAGCAGTTAAAGGATCTCAAGTCCGCATCTTGTACAGCAATTAACCACTAAGAAGAATGTATGCAGTGTGTTAATTATTAAACTGTCCTACCGATTTGATTTGCAACTGTCTCATTGCTATTTGTTTATCAATAAAATTATGACAAAAAATAAAATAAAATAAAGAAAATAGCAGTTAATGGGTAGAATTCTCACCCTGACTAACTCTATATGCTGATATCCATGAAATAAGCAACTACAGTGAGGACAGCAATGTGTAATACTAAAGCCATGCTTGGAATACCTGTCATTTTGTACTTCTAAATGTGTGATGCTTCTAATGTCAATTATTGCTATACTCTCTCTAAAGTAAATGTTTGTAAAAAAAAAATGGGGGTAATGAATGAAAATGAGGGACAAGGAAAAAAAGAAGCAACAAAATAATTTTGTTTTATGACATTAACTGTTATTTTATTTTATTTTTTAATGTATTTTGTGCAGGGCATACAGGGTCTCATTGCATAGATTGGACTCATAGTGCTCCTCCTGTTTTCAGTCTTCCAAGTGCTGGGACTACAGGTGCGCGCCTCAGTGTGCCCCAGGGGCGGGACCGGCACTGCACAGCGGGGATCGAACCGTGGTCCCTGTGCCTGCCTAAGCAGGTTCTTTAGTCCACTGAGCTATCTGGCCACCCCTGTGAATTATCTGGCCAGCCCTAAGCATTATTAAATCAGATTAATTTCATGGCACCGAAGGGACCACACAGCAGTGAAGAGAACATGCGCTTTGAATCAGACATATGCTCTCCGACTTTGGGACACTATTCAATGTCATTCATTAGTAAAATGAGAATTAGCAGCTTTTTGTGAGGAGCAAAGATATCTATGTCCGGCATAAAGATAATAAAAGAAAGCTATGATGGCTTTCACTGTGGCTTTCTCGTTTTCTGTAGCCAGTTTCCTTGGGTTCAAGTCTCACATTACTTTTTTCAGGGTTCTCTGGGGACAGTGGAAAGGGTTAGTGAGTTTCTTTATGGGGGAGTAGGTTGATAAAAGATGTATCTGTGTACTTTATCTTACATGGAACATAAAGACAAAAAGGATTGTCCTATTGAGAGTAACTTCCCCATTACCAAACTATTTTTTTCTTTTTTCTTTTTTTTTTATACCTGGAATTGAACTCAGGACCTTACACTTGCCAGGCAGGCACTATGCCACTGAGCTACAGCCCCAGCCCCATCTACTATACTTTTCTAATCCTATAATCAGGAATAGAATTCTAGGGTGAAAATTAAAAACAGAAAATTATGTGGATGTGAAGATGATTTTCATGGAATTGGAAAGGAGAAACCTTTAATCTAGCTGGCCATTTTCTTTCATAAATAGGTGATATATGACAAATGATTCTGAAAAATAGTAATGAATTTCTTAGGAATCTACAAATAAGTAGTGAAGCCTAACTGAAAATATAGTGGATCATTTTTAGCAGTGTTCATTCGGATTGCAAAATATAATTTTAAAGCTCAAAAAGCTCTTATGCCAGGCACTGTGCTAGGCAACAGATAGTTCAGTAGCGAGCAAGAAAAATACACTTACTGGTTACAGGCAGTTTATTTTAATGTGAAGAAAGAGAGAGAAAATAAAGGCACAGCTTGATCCCAGGGGGTGACATTTCAGAGGTTACTGGTTGAAGGGGTTCAGTGTGATTAAGAAGCTTCTTCAGTCACAGCGTGCAGGATGGTGACACTGACTGCTGTCAATGTGGACACCTGCCTGGGAATTTAGGAGAGACATCTGCCAGTGAAGTGGGGAAGGACCACTTCTGACAGAAAGAGTCAAAGGATTCATGGCACCGAGACAGGAAAGAGTTTAGAAACGTTCCTGGTAGGCTGGTGCTGATGTCCAGGCAAGGGTTGCTGGGCAGCAGGAGCGGCCTGGTCAGGCCAGGCCTGGTGACCAAGTGAAATGGGAAGCCACCCATGGTTTAACTTGAAGGGCGACAGGACCTAATGTATAAGTTTACGAGACGGTTGTGAACGGTGTGTGGACAGAAGCGAGCAGAAGGCGACCCCATGGGACAGGTACTGTTCTGCCTCTGCTGGCGGATCATGATGGCCCAGGTTTAGGTTCCTGAAGTAAGCCGTAGTTCCAGGACACATTCATGGCCACTGACAGGACTCGCTTAAGTGCTGAATCTTGAGAGGGAAGTGTCAGGAGAGGATGCTACAAAGCTTCCGGAAGTCTTATAACTTTCAGAATTGGAGATAATTACTTATGCAAACTCAAGACAAGCATGTCAGCAATGGAGATTCAAAACAGTGATAAAATAAGCATATTAATTGTAGCGTCACTTGCCAATTTAGTTACCTGAAGTATATTTTTGTATTATTTTAGCATATTAAATAACATGTTGGGATAGTATATAAAAAATGGAAATTTGGCTTGGTGATACATTTTATCCAGTTCTTTTTAACCTTATCTTGAGTGGAAATGCAAATTCACTTGGTTTGCACACACACAGTTTGCATTCCTCTGTGGTTTGCCTACTTCTGTAATATTTTCTTAAATGAAAGAGACAAAATATATATTCCTTCAGCAAATCAAACATGCTCTTTTATTTGTGATTCTCTCACTGACTTTTTAAAATTCTCTCTAGATAATTTTAATTTGGTGCTATCGGAAATAACTCTAACATTTGCCAATGCTGTTTTACAAAATAGGAATATGGTCAGAGCTGTCCTTTCTCCTCTGTCCTGCTTCCTTGCCTCAGACTTCCGGTCCCAGCGGCAGAACCCGGAGAAGTTCATGCACCAAGAGGGTGACGTCATTTCACAAACTAACCACACTGTTTCCAGAGTCCTTTCATCTAAGCCAATTAGATATGGTTAGGAAATTTGAAAAATCGTTGTTGTTTTTCTTTTGAAAAATTATTTGAATAATCACTCAGAAAATGATATTTTCAATGATATAGTCACAGCACAAGATTTTAGAAGCTTCATTGCTGTGATTATAACATGTCTCCAAATTGCAGCGTATTCTTCACATAATGTATTCCTGGTTACATTTTTAGAACACGTGTCCATCCCATTGTTCCTTTAAGAGTCAGAGTTTGTAAAGTTTATTGGAAGTGATGGCAACAAATATAGAAGTAAAATGCCATGGTCTCCTTTAAATTTGAAGTAAATCTACCCCCAGTTTTGTTTCACATTTTCCTTAATCTTTAAAAATTTTTTAAATTTTAAATAATTTTAATATGTTCTTTTAATTTATGGGATTTTTGATAACTATTTTTCAACATTGTCAGGCATGTTTATTTTGGATATTGTTTGTGGCTTTGGTCCGGAAACCTCTTGTTTTTTGAAAGAAAAATAAACTGTGCTGTGAAAAGTTAACAGAATACGAAATTGGCTCGCATTAACACGTTTCACTTTGGAAACTCTTCTGGTTTGAGTTCATGCTCTGGGGGCCATTGGCTATCTCTTATTCCAGTGGCAGAAATGATAAATAAAAAATTATTTTCAAAAAGGAAAATCAGAGAGTTCTTTTCATGAAGAAAAACCCTGTTAGGACACAAAAAAGGCTTGCTTGACTTAGACATGTAGATTGTTACCCGTTGTAGAACTTATTTTATTACTGTTACATTTTGTCCAGGTAAAATTAATTGTATACAATACGAATGTACTAGAACTGTTTTTAAACAGTTATTCACAGCCATTCATTTAGAATTGTTATTCAAAAAATGCCTTTGCTTCAGTCTTCAGGTCAGCTTAATATAAGTAAAAATAATGAGCCCAGGATAAGGTATTTTTTGTTGTAGTTAAGTTTATCATAAAGTTCTCAATATATTCATTCTACTTACACTTCAGGTTATAGTTTTCCTCCATTAGTAAAATAGAGGCATTTCAGAACATTGATATAATGAATGCATTTTCTCTCCTTTGAATTTTGTTGTCTTGAGATACCAACACATCTGCCTACCTTTCAACAAAAATTCCAGCTTGGACAGCATGTACGATGCTTCGAAATTTAGGTTTTTCCTCTGGTTTCTTTTTCGTCATCCCCATTTTGCGTGTAAAGGTAGAAGCCAACCAGTCCCGGACTTCCGATGGGACGGAGTCAGTCTGGATGTCACTGAGCTCATCTTCGGTATCCAGCAATCTTCTGCAGAGATTTGTACAAAGGAAATGTTAGAGGGAAGTGAAGAGAAACGAGTATCAAGAAAATAAACACCACAGCGGGGTTTTAAAAACAGCAAATCTCCTTCTTATTACTCCTTAACATGAGCAATTTAAAGAAAATGAAAATTTAACACTTAGAAAACTTGATCATTTTCTGCAGGCAAGGAATTAATAGACATAAGCTTGTGCTTCTTCCACAAAAGGGAAGTACAGTGCCAATGACTTATTAGCAGCATTAAGAAACCCACTCT